GAGTGAAGAAGTGAAGACTCAACCAGATGGATTGACACAGTGGCCACAATGATGGGCTCAAGCATAGCAAGGCTTGTGAGGATGGCAGAGCACTGGGCAGCGTTTCGTTCTGTTGTACACAGGGTTGCTATGAGTTGAAACCAACTGAGTGGCACCTAACAACAATAACAGTAAGGTGTTTGTCTTATTCATCACTGTAATCCTTAGTGGCCAGCCCAAGGCCTTGAACCAATTAGGTTAGCAAAAAATAGATGAATGCCAATTCTCTCTCTCTGGCCTGCCTACACAGTGGATTAGTTACCAAATCATGTTTTTTCTTTCCTGATGCCAGTGCACAAATGCACATGGAGCATTTGTTTTTAGCCTAGAGGGTGCAGTGAGAGATGAAGGGACATGGAGCCTACCTCAAGGAGATAACTTTCTAGCCAGCTGGGCAGCCACCTGATTGTGCCCAGCATCCTCTTCCAGCCCTTTGTCATCTTATACTTGAACTTGTCATGGATTGAATTGTGTCCTCTAGAATTTCTGTTAACTTGGTGGGCCATGATTCTCAGTGGTTTAGAAGTTATGTAATGATGTAATATGCCAGATATGTAATGATATCCCATGATGAGATCTGATGTGATAAACCAGTCAGATGTAAAAGGATTAATGGTTGGTCTTAACACCCTTAGTCCCATCACACCCCTGATCCCATGTAAGGGGAACTTCCCTGGAGTGTGGCCTCCAACACTTTTTATCTTACAAGAGAAAAAAGGAGAGAGAAAGGAACAGAGAAGGCAGACCTATTACCCCCAAGAAAGAGAAGCCAGGAGTGGAGTGTATGTTTTGCACTCTGGGTTCCTGTGCTATGGATCCTCCTAAGAACAAGAGACACCAAGAGAGAAAGTCTTCCTCTAGAGCTGCCACTCTGAACTTGGACCTCTAGCCTCCTAAACTCAGAATAAATTTGTTTGTGAAAGCCACCCACTTGTGTTGTTTCTGTTAAAGGAGCACTAGAGAACTGAGCAAACTTCTGATGTAGCCTGTTCCCTTTTTTGCTGTTCTTAATCTGCCCTTGTTCTAGTCTGTTTTACTCACTGGTCCCACATTCATTTACTTAAACACTACTTTACACATGGCCTTTCTCATGGTCCTTCAATGGCAATCCACTGCTTAGCCTGTCATTCAAGGCCCTGCACAGGCTGGTTCCTGGCTGCCATTCCAAACACACCTCCCACTGCCCCCTATTTGAGTCCTCTACTATAGCTTTTCTGGTCCATTCCATCCCTGATGGCAGCCCTTGACCATGTCTGTGCTCACACTATTCTACCTTCCAAAATACCTTCCTCTTCCCCTAATTCCTTCTTATGCTTTTCAAATAACAGTCTCTCAGTGTGATTGATTCAATATTGTGCTTTAGAAAATTACCAATAACTGAAAGTCATGGAGCTTTGGTGGTCACTTGGCAATAAGTGAGACTACAGATATTAAATAGAAGCATATCATGGGCATGTGGTACTGGCTTTTTATACTCACCTGGCACAAATCATCCCCTTCATAAACTGTTACGGTCTTAAGAACATATATTCTGTATCTTCAACTACACTGTGAATTCTTTAGGGATAGGATACATCTTTTGAATGTTCTGTATCAAGCATAAAGAACCAGTGCTTTACAAATGGAAAAAATTTAATAAATATTGGTTGATTGACAGAAGCTGCATAGCAAACCTAGAAAGTATAAAGTAATAATTCAGATGTTTTCTTTGTTGTTGTTGTTGTTAAGTGCCGTCGAGTCGTTTCCGACTCATAGCGACCCCATGCACAGCAGAACGAAACACTGCCCGATCCCGCACCAGC